TTACCATCTGCATATTATTGCAGTTTGTTCAGATACCGTACTAGATGGACATCAGTAATCTCAAAATTTTTGTAACCGTAAATATATTTAAACCATAGGATCTTCTGGGACATCATAAACTGTCCGAAGTATAGCATTAAGACAAATTATTCATATAAAAAGACATATATTTCCTTTTAAAATAAAAGTATTACGTTTTTTCAGTGTTTTATAAAAAACCTTTCACTTCAGGAAAATGAGATGTAACATCTATGAACGTTTTTCCAACTCACTCAAACAATCTTTTAGAATTTGCTTAACAATCACTCGATTTTCACACGTTTGCTGAGCAACAATTTTGTAATAACAAAGAGTACATTCAATGGACGAAACTAAAATAAAAGTAAATCTCTAAATAAAATAAAAAAAATAAAGAATATAAATAAGCTGATCTTTCAGCTGCTAAGGCATACAGATTATCATCAAAGCTGCCACTTGGTGAAAATAGTAACTAAATATTTTCATTTCTTTAATCTCAGACCCTTGAAGTACCTGTTAAATAATGACTTTCAATAATTTGCTTAAAACTTTGACTACATTTATAATTTCCAAATTGTGATAAACATTCATAATAAGCGTGTTCCACTCAAATATGGAAACAAATGTGAGAATTTGTGCCTTGAGGAACAAAACTGTAATTTTAGAAAAACATACAAATTTAAAATACGTGTTAATTGCCTAAACCTACATAATAATTTTGACATTTAAAAAACCTTAGGCTTCAATAAATTCATGAAACCACAAACATTTCTATATAAAAAAATATAACTAAAACATTTATTAATTTTCGTATACATTTTAACTATGCAATAGCAGTAATGTTTTCCTTGTTCGTTGTATCTTAAAAGCATATGTTTCTCATTAAAGACAAACATTAAAATATAGCACCTCATCTAATTATTGAGACTTGTCATCTCAACTCTGGTGGATCTTCCATCCAGATTTGTTCTTTTTCTTAATAACACAATAGCTCTTATTACAATTATCGCAGATATTAAATACTACAAACATTGTGGTCATAACTCAAGGTTCTATCGTGAGCATTCATATAACTTACAAAAAATTTGGTGAGAAATATGGAAGCCAGCCTAATGAAAAATTGACTGGACTTCGTTTTACCGAGGAGCACTCAAACTTACATTTAGTTGTATGTATGAATTACAAAATATCTGGACCACCTTTGGCTTGATGTAGGATATGACTTAGCGATCATATAGAATAACCCAGCTTGTTAAAAAAAAATTCTTCAGCATTTATGAATAAAAAAATGTATTTCGATTTAGCGACATCCCGCAGACTAACTTTTATTGCTGATTATAACGAAGTTTCGAGAAGTTTTTTTTAAGCAATGTTATGGCAAGAATCAGTCAAAATAAGTGTATGATAAAAGAGATACTAGAGATTATCTTTTATAGCCTTTGTGTAACAATGCTATACAATCCCTGCATAATTTTCAGAAAAATTTTGATGATCCATCCTACACACAAACTACAACATGGTAATACTTTGAACCCTACTTCTGTCAAGTAACTCGAAAAATTTTAGACAAGCTCATCTGCGTAACATATATCACGATTTACACCAAAGGCCAACTAAACACTTCTACGTGCGTTATTTGACAGACATCGACGTAAGTAAGTACTCATTTTTTATTCTTCAACACGATATAAGTTTAAGTTAACACATATGCTCCAAAAACTTGAAGCACTTTGCGCAAGTCTCAGTGATCTAGAACTGATTAAGAGATGGTGTTGACATCTGATAAGTGATTATTAGTAGTATAGCTTTTATTCGTCCGACCACAGATCGACAACCATCGAAAGCTGTTTCGTGATATTTGGCAACTTCTCAGCATGGTGTGGGCTTGGTCTCACTGGACAACACACGAAAAATTTATCGAAATAAGACAGCACAAAGTGCCATCTATTACCAGATTCAACTACTGCAAAAGTGAAAACAGCAGTCTGTCTGTTCAAACCATATCCCAGTTCGCATTGTCAGACTGTTAGATAAGTGTTCTTCCCAAACATCTTCTTTTAGCCATCACTTCAATATGAGTATTCGGGTACTCATTTTTAAATGCAAACATCATGTTGGAAAACACCAAAACTTGCGTCAAATATGCAGGTGAAAAGTATGTCTTGTAGATATCAGGGTTAATAGCAGTCTGTCATGGTGGATATCAAAATTTTGAGCTGTAAGCATAGAAATAATGCCACCTTTTTTGTCCTCCAAAACTGCATTAAGTTAATCTTGTTTATGTTCAAGTTAGTCCGTCCCAATAACAGTTTAAAGTGGTTTTGATCTTAGCTGAGTCTGTATATAGCCATTCTAAAAGCAATTTATTTAGCCCAAGTTCCACTGATCCTTACCATCAGCTAAAAACCGTTCCTGACGGTATAGCCTACATTGGTTAATATTGTAAAGTCTCGTTTTTGGAGAATCTGGTCCCTCAAAAGCTGACGTTTAAATGGACCTATTATTCTCTAACAGGTTGAAGCTGGCCTGTGGGTCAACTAGTAGATGCAATTGCTTATAATGAATTTCGTTAAACTAAGCAAAGATACCATTATAAACTGCTATTAGAACAAACTTTACGTTCTCAACCATCTATGAAAATGCTCAATTCAGTCATTTGTCATTTCAGGGCATGCTCAAAATTATCACTAATTATACTGTCATTGCTAAAAATGTCCTAGACTGCAGTTCTTGAGTATCTTTTGCTTGCGTTGAACACAAATCTGGTGTGGACATCGATCTGAGCTTATCCTCTCCTATGTTCAGGCTGAATATCGAAACTAGGGACGTGATGCGATCTATTTCCATGGTGGGACCCACTTCCGACTTTTTCTTTGATTGCTGGCTGTGCGAGGTGTTTTCTTCGTTATCCTTTTCGACTTTATTCCGTTTCGGTAGGATGGACTGAACGGCGTCTTCACTTTCCCGATCCACAACTGTCCGTCGTCTTTTTAGAGATGATGTGTTTTGGTCTTTGAGTACCTTGGAACAGTCTAAATCGAGGTAAGTTACTTCTGATGTGGTGTATGATGAATGGCCTTCTTTGTTTTGATTTTCTGTACATTGTTCGCAAGTGTCTGACGGATCGGATGATGAAGATTCCTCCTGTAAAGAAAAACATGAATATGAATACAGCAAACTTACAGAATGTACAAATGGAAAGTTTTATTTATATTAGTCAGAAATGGACAACAATGCTCCTCCAGAATGGATGGGAAACCTGGGCGAAACTACAAGTTTCGAAAATATTATATGGTATGTTAGAAAAATTTTTTTTGATAGACAACAGTGAGCCACCTACAGATATCACTTACGTCGGAAATTATTTTCTAAAGAGTTAACAGATATGGAGAAAATTGTAGATGTAACAAAAAATTAGGTCTTGGGTGGTGAGCTCCGGCCAAGATGATTCAAAGGTAAACTAGTTTGTTGCTGAAAATATACGAAATTGGTTACATATATTAATGTAGTGGAACTGTGAGGTCTCAGTGTTATAAATATTATTCCAGGCATACAGAACTGCGGAGGTCGCTAATTTTGTATATTTTCAGCAACAAATGCTAATTTAGTTTTGCATTATCTTGATTGGTGTCCGGCGCCCTAACTTACAAAACTATTTTTGGGCAGAACAATAGCTCATTTTAAAGAAAAAGAATATAAGCAACAAAGGTTAAATGTGGATAAAAAAAATTATAACATGTTCAAGAAGAGGATGAGATACCACTGGATTCTGGTAGTGGTTACAAGGCATAATATTGGTTACAAAAAATTTTCCCAACATCAGATTTCACAAATAATTCTAAACCAAGAAAAGGTGACATAAATCGGTAAATTCCCATCCTCATTTTCTACACATTCTACAGGACCAAAAAAATATTTTTCTAATCCGCATTCGACATTCATTGCATCACATTTTTTTTTTGTTTTAAATGAACTATTCTTCAACCCACAATATTTTTGATAGACAACAAAAGGAGTGAATATGACAAAAATATAACATTCATTAGATTTAATCTTTTGTTACATTCATGATGTTTTTCCCATATCTGTGATATTAAGACAAAAAATTATTTCAGACGTGATATCTATAGGTTCATTACATTATAATCAAAACGGGATCTACGAAAATGTTTTTTTAGCATACTGTGCAAGATTCTCGCAATTTGAAAGAATTCTTAAATTTAACTTTGCACGGGCTGCATTATTAGCAACTTTCATTGATATGCTTTGTTTTTGAGGAAAGACATTAGCAATCTAAGAATGACCCACATTTATCAGTTTGTTCCCATATTTTTTTATTAATTTATCGATTCACAGCATCTTGGTCTCCGTGTGTTTGAAATGAAAAGTGCAAGAAGTAAGCTGTTACTTTGTTATTGCATTCGAATCAGTAAATATTTGTCTTATTTTTTCATATAGTCACTTCCGTCCTTTAATTTTGGCAAAAAATTAAATATTTGGCGTAATTTGCTTAGAACTATTACGCAAAATTATGTACCAAAATCTAAGTTATCAGACTAATAGAAGTATGGGTGTCCGAGGTGATATTAGTAGATTTCTAAATACTTTTATACTCTGCATGAACAGGATTCCACATATCGCAAGTCTGATATAGCACATGAGTTTGCGTAATAGCTCGTAAGATCACGTGATGTAACTAGAATAATTTAGGTATTCCCTAGGGAATAGATAGACAGATATATTATTTAACATATTTATAAAACCACTGTGATTATAGACAGTTACCTAACAAACACATTGGAAAAATAGTGTGCAATAATTCAGGTTTATCTTTGGAATCTTCGTCGAGTCACTATCCTAAATCATGCTTGCTCTGATTGGTACTTCAAGCGATAATACTGTATATCTTGGAAGTTCAATTCAAGTAAATGAATGCAGAAATAACGTGAGTTTTGCTAGTTCAGGCAATTAGACTCAAAAGGGTCGTTTTTCAATAGTGGAATATCCAAAGGCGAGAATAACCCATATCCACGGATATAAATCTGATTTCAAGAACCTAAGCTACACTTCAAGATCCCTATTATACCTGGATTCTACAAGGCAAAAACACATGGCCCAGACTAGGGACCAAAGATTATAGTATACACGCCATACTCAAACTGTACATCAATATGGATATCAAAGCAATGTGATTAAATAGACACAATACCGGAAAGCCAGAAAAATTACTTTCGGTGCAGATCAACGAAAGTTAGATATGAAAAATCGGCAGAGATCACTCGGGCTTCTGGTAAGGAATCTTAATCAATGACAAAACATAACATTTAATGATACGGAAGCATCATTTTTGACTAGCCAAATTCAAGTTGTTTAAAAAATAGAAATTGGACACGAGATGATGCGTTTCTGGGTTCTACCTCTGCCGAGTACCCCGCGGAAGTATTTTAAACAGAATTTAATCACACATAATTACAAAGTCGTTTCTGGGAAGATATTACAAATTATTATTATCAACTTCATTTACGTAACTGGTCATAATATCAACATCATCTGATCATTGAATTTTTGCGCTAGTGCTCATACACTATCAGATTGATAAGAAGTGAAAAAAACATATATGCGCATGGCGCATGTGTAACTTCTTGTTTCAAAAACATAACTATTTTTATCAATGATGAATTTTAAATACATCCAGAAGCCAATAAGCTGAAAATGGTTGACGGTTTTCTTTAATTCCACTGGGGAATGTATAATGAATTCCGACTGAGATTGTCGAATGACCTTGCGTAAATATTCTACACAACGCTGTTGACTGAATATAAACATGAGTCAAATTTAAAAATGAACTTGCTACCAGAACTGATGATAGCTGATATAGGATAAATACTACTAGTTAATATTAAATGTACTTAAAAGGTGCACAACTTAAAATAACATTATCAGCAGAGGTGTGGTGTGGTATGACTGTAATGGGGAAGTATTTCCAACAGAACATAACTGTGAAAAGTTTTAGCAAAATCATCCGAAAAGCCTTTTTATATACGTATATACTGAAGGAGCTGCGAAGGCAAAGCCTCAATACCGAGATACACCGAATAAAAAAGTTGGTCCAGCATATGAATTGTGCAGTGTCTGCAGACATGTTAAACGTATTTTAATTTAGTAGATCACAAGTAGTAATGCAATGATTTTATACCTTCATAATTAGGGGATAATTAAAGACTGAAGCAAGCACTAAGCCACAAATTAGGTACTATTCTGTTCTTGAAAACAAATGTTCTGCTAGATTATTAACATTAAGTTAGCAGAGCATGCCTCACTACAGTCGAAATAATCAATATTTCTCATATCTTTAGTCAAGGATAAGGACTCAAGCTGTAGCCATCATGTACTGCTGCTACCTCAATAACAAATTAGTAAACACGGATGCTCTAAATGGATAAAAAAGCTTCGAGTATTTCAGTTATCTCAACCCTGAGCTCTTATTATTCCTAATTCCTGGCAAAAATGAAGACCTTTATTTTAGAGGTATACAATACTGTGTTAATATATAGTCGAAATCACGAAAGATGACGATTACGTCATCATTTTAGTCTGTAGTAAAGACAAACGACAGCGATTTGTGAATATTTCTAATGAAGTTTCAGATATGTTAGACAGAGACAAACAGAATTTTATTGTCTAAATAAACTGTATTGCTAATATGCATCCGACAAAGATAGACGATGTTTTCATGTTGCATGATCGGTCATATTTGAAAGATGAATAGTTAGGTTATGTTAAAGTAGGTTAGGTTGTTTTCGAATAATACCTTGGTCTTTGGTGTTCCTGTCTTGTCATAACTGTTTTTTTCAAAACAAAAACTCCCCACTAAAATTATTATTAAGGTATCACTCGAAACTATGAAATAAAATGAAAATAAAAATAATCAGTGAAATAACCTAACTTCGCAAGTCATAATATAAATTTGTTGTCATTATGTTCCTGACATCGTGATTTTATCATCGACGTACGTCCATTCATTGCTTCAGTACAATTTATGGCATGACGTAATAGTCATCTTTCGTGATTTTGACTATATACTCGTACGTACATCGTACGTGCGCGGGAATAGTTTGATTAAGGATTGCTATGCCTATGAGCTTCACTACACGCTACCTGAATCATGAGTTTCCATGAATTTAAACATATACCCACTACGAATCAAATAACAAACACATGCCGAAACCATTAAGGTTTTTGCATAATGTGAGAAACCAAAGTATGAATGTTTAGACGCGTGTCCAACTCACCATAGAGAGAACTGAAGTTAGGTATAATAGTAGAGTATAACCCGAGAGATATAGAGAGAAGACAGACAAGGTGAATAAATATATATAGAGAGAGAGATAACAGATGACTCCAAAAACATGGCGGCCAAAAAACAGCTGATAATGTCTAAATACGGCTGTAACCCTTTTTGGATGAATTGATTGACCAGCACTTGTAGTGAACGCATTTTTTGATCAAATTTACTCCTGTCTGAACATGTATTCATGGCGGGGATATTTATCATCAATTAGCAAACTATAAAATATATTTTTCATCCAATAAAGTTAAACAGTTACTATTTCACACTTTGACGTCTACTGAGGTGAACAGCTGATCAGCAAGTGACATTCTTGTGTTACTCTGCAACATTGGCAATAATGAATCGGGTATAAATCAAGTGAAACTTGTCTGTGGAGTTTTGTTTCTTGTATGCAAATGAACTATTCTAAATAAAAGAGCTGTTAGCAAGTACAAAATGAATCTGTAGCTTACAAAAAGCCGAAACAAAATACGGCTCTGACTACCCGGAGTTGACGGATCCGTCAGAATTATGTGTTCTGTGCCGATATGGGAATTTTGAGATATTTCATCTGCGATTCTACCGTGATGGATACTCGTGAAATAGGGTATATATTCGGCTCTTGAAATTCAAAAATTGTCTAACCTCAAATTACTTATTCGACCAATCGCCTGGCCTTAGAGGATATATTTATTTATTTCGAACGACTTTTTGATGTAACCACCAAAAACCGTGAAAAGAGCTGAACTACATTGTTTAGTATAGTCTTTTTCACGATTTTCCATTACAGTACAATAACAGCTAATTATCTAGTAATATTTCGAAACTCCCCATATCCGCAAAGAACACATAATTCTCACGGATCCGTCAATGCCAGGTAGACAGAGCCCTATTTTGTTTTGACTTTTTGTACACTACAGATTTATTTTGTACTTGCTAAAAGCTCTTTTATTAAATGAAGTGCATTTGCATACAAAAACAAAACGCTACAAACAAGTTTACTAAATTTACACCCGATTCATTATTGCCAACGTTGCAGACTAACAAAAAGTCACTTGCTGATCAGCTGTTCGCCTCAGTAGACGTCAAAGCGTGACGGATACTCGTGAAATAGGGTATATAAATGTAAAGATTTTAGGGCAACTCGGCAACACCGCCTCGGTGACCAAGGACAGCACATGATGGCTGTATTTATTTGTAAACGCGTAATAGTCCAAGAGCCAACCGCAAAGTTTTAGTTACATCGCGTACTGATATGGAATGTTAAAAACTAGACAAGTCTTGCGTATTTTGATGTTAAACAGCAAACTTTTATTGAAATGTGACTAGTTTTTATGGTATCATATCAGTACGAGATGATAATATAACAAAAAAAAAATCATCGGCTTCCCTACCATACTGCAGATTACTGCAAGGTCAATGGGGTCTCGTTGCTATAACAATAGTAGTATCCTATATAGTGTCATAATTATCTCATGGGACTCGAACAAAAATATTCATTCAGGAATGACAAACATTTTAGAATGCTTAGAAACAAAAAAATCAGAATTCAGAATCATGCCACATTATTTAAATGTAGTTTTTAATAAAAAACTGCAATCATTTATAGTTCTATACAAAAAATATTAATTCTCAGTGTTCCATCAAAAAATTAAATTGTTCCTGTTAGGTTCGCTTATTTATTTGACTACTGCATCAAAAGTATTATCGTACATATTTTTCTTTTAGTTGTGACTTGTAACCAGTCACATGTTTAATACACCAATATGTGTGGATGTGGGTTATTTCCTCACAGAGGAGCACCATTCAGTCACTAATTTTGTTGCATGTCTGTTTCAGGAAAAATTATCAGGAGTTAACTGGCCAGAATGCTCTGACTCCTGATTACTTGTTTTTGAGTGGCTGGGATGTTCTTTTTCAATGAAAACACCAATCATTTCTGAAGGTTAATTACACTCTTGTTTTATATCTCAAAATTCTTGTAAACGTATTTCTATGATCATCACTATCATCCTTTGGGAAATTGGTTGAGGGTAATAAGAGGGATGTCTTTTAAGTTTTGCATATGGAAATAAAACAACACGGTACGTAGTTTTAAATGACTTTATTGTTTTTTGAAGTATTCTCCACGAAGATTAATACACATCTGCATGCGCTCGAACCAATTTTCGAAGCACTTATTCCACTCGTTTGCTGGCAGATCCAAAACGGCATTTTTGAATGCGTCAACTGCTTCTTCTGGTGAGTGGAACCTTTGACCACACAGTCCGTTTTTAATTTTCGTTAAAGTACAGAAACCGTTAGCACTTAGATCGGGACTATATGGAGGATGGTCTAAAAATTCCACGTTTTCTTCCGTTACAGCCGTTTTACACACAAGAGAATTACTCCGAAAATTATGGTCACAATAAAGCCGAAAATTTGCATGGAAAAAATATGAAGATTTTCTCTAAAACCTGTATGACACCTGCAAACAAAATTTCCGAGTAATTCATATGATACGCCTGCGCATTAGCGTAATATTTTCGAATGGACATAACCTTAACGGGTATGACGTCCAATATAATCGGAAAGACAACAGACGTCGTTGATTTAAATTAATTTTTGAAATCGAGATCTTGGTTATTATAAAACTTCTCAATGCTTGGACTATCGCATCCAGCGCCTGACGCCGCAAATTTCTGTTTTTGTAATTGGGTGACTTCACCTTGTACAGGTTTGGTCATTTTTAGTACTCCTCCAACAACAGTGTAACCTCTTCCCGAGTCCACGACATTATGAATAAACAATAACAATAAACGTTTCTTCGTACGACTCGAACAGGACCACACCCACAAATGTTAAGTGAGGTTATGTTGTTGATGTTGACATTTGATAATGACATGCACGGAAATAACCCTCTGCGCCGATTGTCGCGCATATTCTATAGAAGGGGTTTTATATTTTTACCAAGAAAATTTTCACAAGAATTATTTTAGGTGTAATACGACAGCAAAGATTTTCGGCATAATTATAACCATAATTTTCGGAATAATTGTGTGTAAAACGGCTCTTAAATACTGCCTTGTTTTTTGGGCTGTGTGCGAGCTTGCATTGTCTTGGTGGAGGATGATTCTTCTTTCGGGGTTGATTTTTCAAAGCTTGGTGATGACTTTTGGCAAACAAATGGTGGTATACCAATCTGCAGTAACAGTTCTTTGCTCATTAAGAGGAATTGCTTTCGACACAAATGTCGCGACCATCTTTTTCGAAACACTTCGAGAACGGAAGACTTTTTTGGCTTTTCTTCACCTTGGAACACCCAAACAGCCGACTGTCGTTTATTTTCTGGTTCATAACAGTAAATCCACGATTCATCACCACTAACAATGCTGTACAGATTTTTGAGTTTCCGGAATTGAATCGGTCAAGTGTTTTTTGACACCAACTAACCCTGGCTGCTTTCTGCTCTTCAGTCAGCAGGTGGGGTATCCAACAAGAAACTAATTTTCGTACTCCTAATTCTCCATGTAAAATTTTTTTAATTGAGGTCTTTGAGATCTTCAAGGACGCCTCAAACTCGCGATATAACACATGTCTATCTTCAATGATGAGTTTGCGCAAAGCATCGACGTTTTCCTGGGTGACTGCCGTTTTTGGTGCACCCACCCTGGGTGCGTCGCTAAGACTCACTCGCCCACGTTTGAATTCTCCATACCAACGGGAAATTGTCGACTGATGTGGCGCTTCGTTTCCGAAAACAGACAGTAACTCAGCAAGGCATTCTTGTTGAGATAATTGTCTCTGAAAGTTGTAATAAATTATGGCGCGAAAATGTTCTCGGTTGAGTTCCATTTTTCTAATGACTTGGTGACACTTAAAAATTCACTGTAGTGAGAACACTGCACGTATTGTTGTGAAACTTAAGATTCAATACTGACGTTCGATCCGCGCAGCCTACTATGTTTCTATATGCAAAACTTGAAAGGCATCCCTCGTAGTAGCTTATACTAAACTCCACCTAACAGGTTCTTCAAAATCAGATAGGTACTTAAGTTAATAAAGATGTCAATCATTATTATTAATTATTTACATTGAGCCATTGTTGTTTATATCATTCTAATACAGGAGCTCAAATTGTCATTTCGTGTTTGGCAACTGTCAATTTGAGATTTCCGCTGTAATCAGATTCATTTAAAAATCGGCGTTTAAGAACGACTAAAATGTGTTAAACAAATAATATTGATCTGTCATGGCACCCGTTTTCGAATATCTTTAGTTTACCTAGAAAGCAAGCATTTAAACATTTAATGTCAGAACTAAAAGAAAAGTGTAATAATAATAGATTAAAACATTTAATCAAGATCTACCATCTACTCAACCCATCTTATCTAATCAAATATGTTACAAAACGTTATTTTTTCATTAGGATCTGACAACCTTGCATGCTTAAGGTCTATAGTGTAATTAAACTTCAATTACTCCGTGTCACAGATTATACTCCGCGTCAAAACAAACATGAATTCTTGTGTGGATCGCCGGTTTACTTCGATTGACGCTGCCTGCCCAGGCATTTAGGGCCCGCAGGGCAAAAGGAGAGCGAATTTAAATATGACGCGCTAGTGCTTCTAGCAGAAAAGGAGTTTGAATACACTCCCTGTCAATTTAACGCTCCTAAAATTTCGAGAATATACAGGGTGACTTCGAAGTTGAGTCATTTATTTTAACAGTGAGTAGATCTGATCAAAAGAAATGTTTTTTTCCTTTAACATTTTTCTGGTAAAATTAAAGTAACAAAGTTATAGCCCTTTAGAAGTTTGAGTACCGCCCGTTTATCACGATGTTGTGGTGTTTGTTGCGTGGCTCAAACGAAATAAAAAATGGCACATGTTTACGAAAATGCCCAACTTGTGGACATGATTCTTATTTACGGGGGGGAGTCTTTACAAAATGCTGCCGCGGCATCACGGATTTGTGCGAATCGGTTTCTCAATCGAGTGCAACCAACCCCTCGTGCCTTTGTTAATGTAGTACAAAGGGCTCGTGAATCAGGTGACTTAAGACCTCACAGGGGAGGGCATGCCGGTGCTCCAAGACCGCACGATCAAATACAGGTCCGCACTGAAATACTTGTCGGGAGGATACTTTATAAAACAAGGTAAAATTTTTTTTGATTTTTTTTTTATTTTTACACACATATTTTGGTTTATCTTCCTTCTACAATCATTATCTGAAAATTAATGACTCAACTTCAAAGTCACCCTGTATAGCACCTCCTACTCAGAATTCTAATGACAGCCAACTCAAAGCTCACCCTTCAAGAATGCTAGAGGTAAAAGAGGAAATTGGCGCATTTTTTATAATTGCATTGGTGTTTAAAAGCTAACTTGTTTTTTCAAGATGAAGTCAATAACATTTGTAAGCTCAAAATGATGTATCTATAACAATTCGGTTTAAATTACAATTTTAAGGCGAGTAGTTGGAGTCAAAGACTTTAAAAATCAGGTTTAAATTTGTTAAGCGGTATTCAAGGTCTTTGTTGGAAAAATACATTGAAAATAAATCATTCTTTATATTGAATAAATAAATTAAGAAATGAGTGCAAGAGATGTAGATCTACAAAAATCAAAAATGCAAGTCTACCATTTTAATTGGAAAAACTGCAGAATACTCATTTTCCCAAAGTCGACTTATGGTTTTGACAAGATTCGGAATAATTTTCACAATGAATGAGTAATATTTCCAATTTCAAAGTACACTATAATGTCGAAAACCATGATTCCGGATGTAAAATCATAAAACGATAGTCCAAATTTCTCTGTACCGTCCTTGCCAACGAAGTGTCACCGGTACCTTATCACTGCAATCAACGTAGAAGAAAAAATAACTGATGACGAATCAGCTAGTGACTCACGTTAAAATCACGCTTTAGTTCCATGTCTAAATATATCTGGATTACCCTGACTGATAATTAACCTACGTCAATGTACAACGCACCGAGATATTCCTATATAAATGTATACACGTTTTCTTAAGACAAATCCAGATCTGCTTATAAGCTGCAGCAACATTGAACGAACTCGTCCTACGCTCAACACACGTCACATACGTCAGTAAAGTTGTTCACCTTTCATTGTTTGCTATTCGGCAACGTTGCTCTCGCATGCTACGGATTAATATCTCAACATTCTTAATCCATTACAAGATGACGTGATTCGTCCGATACCTACTCAGAATAAGCGTGACACATAAATAAGAGAATTTTAGGAAGACTACAATAAAGAAACATCTCTATGTCTGCTGCATTGCAAAATATCTAGTATACTGGAATGTATTTTGAATAAAAAGAGAAATTCTCAGCGCTTACCGTCGTTTCAGAATCTGTTTCTTTAGTTGTGTCTGTTAGATCTTCTTTAGGTACAGGTCTAGCCTGAACAGGTGTAGGTAGTTGGTAGTGTACCATACTATAAGCTTCTTCCATGAAAATGTATCTAGCCTTCTGTAACACTGTAGCAACAAGTAAACTTTTATGTAGATTTACACCACTTCGATGCATCCTGCCCTGTGCAATTTTCGTCAATGATAATCCTATGATCTTCTGTGCTTCGCTGGCCATTTTACACACAACACACTTTTCGCGCGTTCTAAAGAAATTCACAAGTATGGTGATACACCCTCGACGAGGTGTTGCTTCACAACCGCATTATCAAAGCTTTCTACTAAAATGAAAAGTTTCCGCCTAACATGTATTTATAACTTCAGACGGTGACGTCACAACCTACTTTCAACGTGTCATTCACCAATCAGACGCGTCCTTACTGATCGCACTCGGTACGATTCGAACGAATATCGATGAACGATAGTAACAGAGTTCTTTGCGCTCTTTATCGCTACTGCCTTTTTCTCTCTCCTTCTCTCTCACGGCATACCAGCTTGGTGCGCATACGGACACATTCTCAGCCGCTTATCTGTTTTATCGCGGGAGGAGGAGACGCTTAGAATGGGTGGATTGTCGTGTAGCCGGAGATGCGTAAGACAGTTTACCTGAGTGGCTTTGTTGAATCGCATTTCGGCATTTACCTTTGCAGTATTCTGTTTGTTGGGCTGCTTTTATTTAATTCGAGGAAGTGGGGACTATTTAGGTACCTGCGCTTTTTTGCATATTAGTCTGAATTAGAACACACAACACCTACTTAGAAGAGCCTCAAGAATACTGTCACTGGCTTTAGATTTAATTTTAAACAGGTACCTACATATAGCAGGTATATATATATATGGTATATCAATCATTACTTTGCAAATGGCGCCCAACCGGTTGGTCAGAGAATGATCGAATTAACCAATGAGGTTTGTTCTTTGTGGTCAACTATGTATTGAGATTATGAATATCACGGAAAAATTAAAATCCGTCGTTGGCACTAGAACATTACTCAAGGTCAGATTTTATGAAAACCGTTTGCTCCTATATAACGATGAAAATAATTTTTAAATCGCTCCAAAAAGCGTCAAAATGTATGTATGATCAACCGTATTAAAAAATATCTAGGATATACAGGGTGTCGCGAAAATGAAGGATAATCCTGCAACTGCAGATAGGTTACTAGATGATGAATGAGAATTAATCATCTCATCTCATTCAGAATTATTTTTCCTTAAAGTGGCGAAAAACCTATATAAAAGTAATGTGAAAGTCTAAATTTGATTAAAACCCCTTCTTACGTCTGACTTTGACATCCTATAGAGTGATCAAGTATGATCACTGTGAAAATTAGTCAAAAAGGTTGCCCAACTGTTGGCAATTTTTAAATGGTATCATTCGTATTCGCCCTCTGCGTTCTTTTTTCTTCGTTTTATTGCAGTGATAATGGAGGAGGGTAATTTTTCATTGAAATCAGAAAATATCAATATAAGGCTTGAATACAAAAAGAGGATAGGATATTGATGTTGAAGAATAATCTACATTCAAGATATTAATGTAATGAGCATTATTGACTGTTATGCATGATCTACCTGTCATGAAACAATTCAATTTTGGAACTCAATCCTGTTACTGTGGTCAGTTCAGCGCGGTATATAAATTCTCTAAAGCAACCCGAATAAAAAATTTAGTGGACTTAGCTTCCGACAATCTTGATCGTAATGAAATAAGACCGCGCAGCCTGATCCACCTTTATGAATGCTGCATGTTTATAATTCAAATGGTCTCCATCTGACCGAGTGTGATGTACCCGAGTATAATTGAGTACGTTTGTTGCAGCAGATCCCAATCAGATGCGAGGATACTACCTGGACTAGATGTTTCATACTCGTTTTAAGAATACTTTTAAACATCTAGTAGCCTGGTGTCAAACTGACTGAAATGAACGCCAGAAGAAGCAGATTCCTACAATTGTAGGACGCCTTTATGACCTTCTTCATTTTCATAATATTCTGCTGTAGAACGTCAGGAATATTTCTGAATTTCTACTGGTCCCTGTCAGTCAGCTCTCCTATTGTGAGCCTATCTTTTTAATTTGTAGGAAATTTCAGTCTGACAAAACAGATGATATAAATCAAAAGCATGAACAATTTGATGCAAATAGATAAATTGTAACATAATCTCAGAATAGAGCGCTGACACGGGTCAATAAAAATCTAGAAATACCTCTGTCTTTCTGAAAGATAGCAAAAACTATGAAGATCAAGGAGGCCATATATAAAGGCGTCCTACAATTGTATGAGCGACTAACGATACGGCCCTTATTTTATAATTTTTTATAGTCGGTAGTTGTTCAGTGCCTCTTGCTATTTGTATTTTTGGTTATATAGTTGTTTTCGCGTTGATTTTTTATTGGTTTTCTAGTTTTTGGGAGTTAGTTGTTTCGTTATGACCAGATACGAGTAAATTATCCTTCAAGATGAATCCTGTCAATTTTTTGTATCCAAGAAATAATTATTTTCTGATATCTACGAAAACTGACACTCCTCCATTATATCTGTAATAAAACAAAAAAAAAACAATAAAAAATAGCAGAAGGCAAATAACAACAATACAATTTAAAAATTGCCAAAAGTTGAACAACTTTTTCGATTTATTTGCACAGTGATCGTATTTGATCCTCCAACTCTACAGGGTGTCAGAGTCGACGTTTGATGAAAAATTAGATTTAGGAATGACTTTGATGTGGGTTCGAGATAAAATGCTCAACGTTGAGTGTTTTAAAACATCTGGTTCTAAACTGTTGATATTTGTAGAAATGGCGCGGGATTAACTGAATAGTTATATATATACAGGGTGACTTTGAAGTTGAGTCATTTTCAGATAATGATTGTAGAAGGAAGATAAAAGAAAATGTGTGTAAAAATAAAAAAAAAATTGTACCTTGTTTTATAAAGTATCCTCCCGACAAGTATTTCAGTGCGGACCTGTATTTGATCGTGAGGTCCCCTGTGAGGTCTTAAGTCACCTGATTCACGAGCCCGTTGTACTACATCAACAAAGGCACGAGGGATTGGTTGCACTCGATTGGGAAACCGATCCGCATAAACATGTGCCATTTTTTATTTCGTTTGAGCCACGCAACAGACACTATTCACACGCGTTACCGATTGACATTGACTGTATGTATAACTGAACTGAATAAAATAATTGTAAAAACATCGTTCCAAATTCTTTCGTTTTTTTGTTTCCGATGCGATGAACCGATAAGGCGGATTATATCCGTTGTTGCCAAACACGAGCACATGATATTATTATTGAGACAGGGCGGTACTCAAACTTCCAAAGGGCTATAACTTTGTTACTTTAATTTTAGCAGAAAAATGGTAAAGGAAAAAAACATTTCTTTTGATCAGATCTACTCACTGTCAAAATAAATGACTCAACTTCGAAGTCACCCTGTATATAAATATAAATAGGAAAATGCCCGAAATGAATGCACTTATGCAACTACAAAAGTAGATACACATGCTCATACATCCGGATACGGGTGTAACCTGAGGAAACAAAGACGGAGAGGGGAAAAAACACACACGAAGTCCGGCCGCGTGGTTGTGGTTAGATGTAGCCTTGAAAATTCGAGGTCTTCTAGCTATTTTATACTACAATGTGTAGGTTGGCTCTTGTTGTGGACTTCGTGTGTGTTTTTCCCCTCTCCGTCTTCGTTTCCTCAGGTTACACCCGTATCCGGATGTATGAGCATGTGTATCTACTTTTGTAGTTGCATACGTGCATTCATTTCGGACCTGATGAAGCCAACCAGCAGAAATATGTATCGCTCGGGTTACCTATTCTATTGTCTGCTCGAATCCACTTTCCTCCTTTTTGCGGATTTTGCCCATTATTTTCCTATTTTTTGTTATATACATTTCTCCGCATGATTATTTTCTCTACATATATATATATACCCCTATTTAAAAAAAAATGAATGCTGAAAATCTATAAAACAAGACTTTTACTAGAACAAAATTTTACTTCCAGTTCTTTTGTGGTACATCTTCGAAACTGAAACTCCAAAATTTCAAAAATCAATCACCAGAAATAGATTCAAAGCTCATTGCACCCAGTGACATATCTTCAGTACCACTAATGGAAGCCAATATCTTCCAGTTGGATGCTGCAAGCTGGGTCGACTTGAACAAATGCAATATAACCATTTTTCGAATATGATGATGAACATTTTAATATCAACAACAACGAAGTATGGGAGACTCTCCCCGCCATGAGTCCGATACCGCAACCAAATACAAACACATATTCGTCCATATTTCTTTAGTGATCGTCAAGCATTTGTTCAAACAACAAGCTGTGATGTTCAAGGAAAATATTCAATTCACAAAATAAATGTGCTTATAATTTATATAAATGATTGGTTTGAGATATCTCAAACTTTTCTGATCATATAAATCAAAAGCGCTTATTCGAAAGTTTTGATACAAAACAAGCTAGTTCCAAATTATGTTTGGGAGAAGTAGATACAGGCAAATATTCATATAGGTTCTTGATTGTCTCGTGAACAGTGGCGGTCAAGTCAATAAATCAGATATTGTACTTCAATAACAGAATCTAACAATATCATTTGGACCGCGTTATGCATGACTTGACCAAGAGACAAATCTCTGTTTTTCAGATGGATGAATAAACTTTAACAATTCATTAAAAATCAATGCCACGAATGATTTTTATTCTGTGAATAGAAAATGATATTACACATTTATGTATGCAATCATTATTTCAAGAACTCTTATACCTGAAACTCAATGAAATGTTAAAAATGTTTTCGCTTTTGAACCTCAGGTAGAGACCTGTATAGAGATACAGCCTGCAATTTTTTATAGGTGAGTTGAACTACTGTGCATCAGATGGCAGCAAAATCTGTAAATTTATCAAATGACGCTTGGTCAAGTTATGCATAATGCAGTCCATTTGACTGACCTGTAATCTAATCATATATGTTTTTAGAAATACCTGTATTTTGAATATTTACACAGCCAACTTGCGAAAATCATGTAAACGGGCACGGTTCACGAGATAATCAATCATTTCTACTCTTAATTCTATTATTATTTATGCGCTGCAAATGGTATATGAACATCAAAAGGGAACAATTCAGGGATCTAGATCGCAAGAAGCACTAACATTTCAATTAATTTGTGCAAAACTGCGAGTCACCAGAAATGTTATGTATAATGAATATTTATTTGAGAGCATTGATGGAGTTATCTAGTTTGTTTTTATATGAAATTTAACTCTTAACCATTTGTGATTTGTATTCACTTTGTAGGATATCTATATCCGCTTTACCCAGGGGTCCAGGAAAGGTAGAAAATCTGCATCATTTTGTTTTTTTATCTATGTACTAAATAGCTACAGCATACAAATAACTATTGTTTATTTTGTATACCAGCAGAACAACTGTGGTGTATATATACTCCTGTCACATTCTTCAAATGGCCAAAGTTCCTTTTACGGCCTATAGAATTCATATTCATTAACAAACCTTCAATATTTTGTGATACATGAAATATCAGATGGTCACATAGACTTTACTTTTATTATCAACCAACTACATGAGAGTATCTTAGGTATTCTTTATAAGCAATGCTGGAAGTGCTCCTCAAATGTCAATTCACTATTTACCAGTATGTTCATTCATCTCCTGCATGTTCAATCAAGATCCATATACTGTTTTTTTTTTCAAAACTGTAATCAAACACAGTGGCGGCTCGTGCCAATTCAGTGAGGTAGTGCCAGAATGGAAGCCATAATTTTGAATCGATTCAAAATTGTAAAGAATAACTTATAACTTACCCCTGATAGTTAGTGGTCAAAGTTCTTGAGGTTCAATAAATCTATATGTCCAAAAAAAATCAAAAATAAAACTATTTACACACGCGCACCAAATTATAAAACAAGTGTGGAGAAGTACCTATAACTTCAAAGTTTTCTATACATGAAGTCCATTCTTCTTTCTTTTTTGGTAGCAAAGTTTTCGATTACCTTATTATTAAAATTTTCAATGCCACTAACAAAATGTTTTTCTGCAAACAGCATTCGTAAAGCACTAAGCCTTTCTTCCTTCATTGTGTTTCTGAGGAAAGTTTTAATCCGTTTCAGCATTGAAAAAGAGCGTTCTGCTTCAGATGTTGACATCGGTATAGTGATTAAAATACTTAAGAGCTTAAGAGTTTCTTGAAACGTACAATTTAATCCTTCCTCGTTCAATAAAATGGATAGTGGAACAGCTCCAGAAGTAGTACTCAATTCTTCTCTCTGATATAATACTTGTAACTCAGTTTTAAGCCTGTTTTTGTCTAAAAATGAAAATTGTGTGCATGTGTCATTTAAATGTGCTTCAGGAAACTGATGTTTATAAACAGAAAACTTTTCAGACACAAATAAATTAGAAGCAACTAAATGTCCAGAAAAGTTAAATCTTGTTCTTATTTGCGATAATACTGCATCGCATATTTCTAACGCTTCCCGTTTTTTGCTGCCTTCTTCAACTTGCCTTTTTTTTCTTGGCGGTTCATCAGTTTCTCTCTGCACTCGTTCAATCTCGTCAATAATGCTATCCATTTGTTCTCGTATAGTTTGAATTGCTGCTTCAAAATTCTCTAAATCATTTTTGACCTTAACAGAATCGGTGCATACTTTTTGTAATTGGTTAAAGACAATTTCAACATGTGGCATTATTTTATGGAATATACTTAGCCAAAATACAAAATTTGTATCTTGCAGCTTTAATTTGTACCCACTGGCTTGATTAATCGACGAAGAATCGCGTGAAGTACTTTCTATATTGTCCATAACTTCAATCAGGTCTTTCCTATTTTCATAAACTGTATGAACACCTCGTCACTGAAAATTCCAACGTGTTTGGGAAGATCTTGGCAATCTGCAATTAACTATTTCATCCAAAATTTTTGTTCTTTGAGGAGACGTCGAAAAAAAAGAGCACAATCCAGATAAATTATGGAAAAATATTCTAGCCTGCTTATTGACAGAGCATGCGCTTGTCATAATTAGATTTAACTGGTGTGCATAGCAATGAACATAATTTGCAAGTGGATAAGTTTCCTTAATAATTTTTTGAACGCCATTCAATTCACCACTCATAACAGACGCACCATCATAGCTTTGAGCTATTAATTTGTTTGGATTTTGATCTAGTTATGGATTTACAACATTTAAAACGCATGCAGCGATTGATTTGGCATCGTGTCCGTCGGGGACGTAAAATCTCCAAAATCTCTCAACTGGTTGTCCTTTACACAAATATCTGAAAATAATAACTAACTGAAATTCACAGGCTACGTCAGTCGTTTCATCGGCAATTACTGCAACAAAAGGAGAATTTGCAATCTCCTTCTTAACTTCTTCATGATAAACATCTAGCATGCACTCAAGAAGCTCGTTTTGAGTTGTTTTTGAGGTACCCTTGAAAAGTTTGGCACTTTGAATATGGACTTTCAATTCGTTGTCTAATTCGGCGCTAAAATTCACCAGCTCCTTAAATATGCCTCTGTTTTCCGAATTTTCCTTTTCATCGTGACCCCTTAAGGCTAACTCAAATGCTCCACAAAACCTTATACAATTAATAATTTTATTCAATACATATCGATTCTTATCCACTTGATTATTATGTTTAATTAGATCATTGCGATAAGCCGAATTGAGTTGAGTCCTTATATTTAATTTACCAAGAATAGAAAAGCTAAAAACATTATTCATATGGACTTTAGATTTTTCGTGGGTCTTCATTTTATCCCATATATGTATAAGATCGTCTGTACCTTTTTTTGACCAAGTCTCGTCACCTCCAAATAGAACACATACAAAACAAAATAGTTTATTCGTTTCTTCACAACCACATATCCAGCTGTTTTTATCGTACACATTTTTATTAAATTTGCGACAGCGCGATTTTTGTCCGCTACCACTTTGTTTCTCAATTTTCAAATCGGGTATTGGCCGTCCTAATTCTTTAATTTGCAGTTTTTGATCCAGCGAAAAACCACTAAATGAGTTTTTTAATATCCCGATTTTATTCATTTTCACTAGTTTTAATAAAACAGTAAAAAATATGATCACAAAACAGAGCAGTTCATTAACACTAGACGTACTAAAACAAAAAAGGTATTTTTCACTTTTCAGGTAAAAAAGACCGAAATCAGCACTAGACGTAATCATAACGAAACGACCGACCGAACAAAAACACCGCCGATATCACTTGATAACGAATTACGACTGATGATGTGCCTGGCACAAATTATACTTGTCTTTCGCTATTCACCTCATATAAAAATGTGTAGGGTAGCGTTATCTCTGTCGCTCGTATGCGATGCTAGTAAAATTTCTCTCTTTTTATTTGGGCCGGCCCAAAATTGGCACAAGTTGATGACGTCAAGGTCAAGGCGTGCTGTCCGTATCGCGTGGTTCGGGTGCTTGCGGTGTTGTCACGTTGTCAGTGTTGTCACTTCATATAATTTATACCAAAAAAAAAAAAAAATTAAAAAGCAGAAAATAAAGTAAAACATTGAAGATTGAAAAAAATATTCTTTTTGAAGAAGACAAGGTAGTGCCATGGCACCGTGGCACTACCTCACGAGCCGCCACTGATCAAACATATTAATAAAGAATATGGAATTTAAAAATATTTATTTTCTTACTTTTGTCAGTTGTAACGTCTGCTGCATAACCATGCTGCATCTTGGATCTCTATTGAGAGCAAGGAAGAACTGCGCATCATGAGACCTTCGTAAACTGAACATGAAACACTGCTCCCAAGCCTCGTGAACAGCTAACCCAACCAATTGTTAAAATGTTTATGCTTGAATAACTTCTTTGATAATGAAATGGGTGGAATGTGATGTGTGTTTCACATTTTGCAGGTTTTTAAACGTGCTAGATGGATTCATATCACTCAATCAGTTGCTTCTGTGGATCAAGAATTCTTAAGTATCTAGTAAATGTATGTATACAAATGTAATATATTACATGGGTGGCAAGGAATAGAAAAACTGGTTCCTGTATATTTTTGTTGAATTTTTATTATTACCTAGACATCTATAGAGGATAGAAAAAACACAACTACCCTCAATGTATAAAAAATAGCACATAAAACGTGCCGCGTTTACAACCTAAGCATATACAGGGTGTTTCATTGAGAGAGGGAGATATTTTAACCATACACAGAGGATACATTTCTTTATGATGACACAACTTTTTAACTGCCCATTATACTTTTCTGAAACTTGGTATACGTACTCAGCTTATGTCATCGAAATACAGGTCTGGACAGTTTAATCCAAAAACAAAAAGCTGTATACTGGAATTTCCGAATTCTGTTTTCATATTTGGAAAGAGCACAGAAACGTAATTCTAATAATTCACTTTTTTTATTTGGCCAGAAGATTTTGTATGAGCTGGAAATACTGATTTTGTTTATTTATTTTGGAGTACCCGGCTGGACACTTCATGGTCCATTAATTTTATAACTTACTAATAATGATACTAGTGTTGGATTCGGAAGGTCATCTTATCGATTAGTTAGACCAATAACAACATACTTCTATGTCCCCATTGAGACCCAATGATTAGCGGTTGCGTATCTACATATTGAGCAAGTCTCTCTTTTAGAGACACACGATTGTTATACTGTCCGAACATCACAGGTAGTATAATTAGCAATGTACCCAGATTCTCCTATTGAGCCGAAAATATATACAGGCCTGGACTCATTCAAAGTTTAAGAACTCGTTATACCCTAAACCCTAAACTATCAGTTGTTACCTATTTTATAAAATCATACACCATTTAGAAGGGTATGAAGCAGGGAATGACTGGTTGTCTTGGATAGGACGAGCTTGTAAACTATGAATGAGTTCACGTCTGTATTTCTTTTCCAGTTAGTATCACAACAGATTGAATAGGATGAACTGGGTACACATACTCTGTTTCAAAAAGATATACACGTTAGTTGGAGACTTATGATATTAACAAGGAACATATCCAAAGGTAGCCAGCGATCTCTTGCTTCATTAAATCACACATCATTTGGATCACCGAATTCGAATAGATTAGATGGAGGAGGATTAAGATTGCGTAGCTTGAGTGTATACTTTTGACTCATTTGTCTATCACTGTCTACCAAAGTGGCAGCACTGTATCAACATAATAATAATACTTACCAATGGAAACATTTACTATAATTAAGCTTGTGCCGCTCTTTGCAAATGATGTAAGAAGTACCAAATCTTAAAATTGTCTAACCCCACAATTATCTTCAAACACTCGGACAACACTAAATATACGAATTTAGAAGACAAACAAATCCTTGACTGGCTCTTCCTACCCAGTCTGAATTCGTTGATTTGGATGGGTACCAACATGCCAACGTTGACACTTACACTACCTGTTTCAGCTGGGTAATAATCGTATTTATGTAAATTTGGCCACCTTCCTGATTAAAAAAATCCTCAATATGTGGATACGCAACCGCTACCCTTCAGTTCTTAATACGGACTTGGACGTATCTTTTTATTAATCTAAACTCTAGATGAAGTAAATGATCGAAAATATAATCCTCTTCTAAATCGAACTAATGTGGTGCATAACTACTTAACCAGAAACATAAATAAACCAAAAAGTATCCAGCTTTGTAATCCATAATAAACAAAATCAGTATATCAAGCTCTTACAAAATCGTTTGCTCAGATAAAAAATGGATCATCAGAGTGAATTTTCCGTGCTCTTTCCAAATATGTGAATTTGAAAGTTTTAATATAGAGGGTGTCGTTTTCGGGTAAAACGGATATATCAAACTTCAACTATTCTGGAACTGTATTTCTCTTCTTGTTCATATTATATCTCCATTATAAGAATATATAAAAAAATAAAAAATGTACTTTTTCATGCTTAACAGAAGTTAAAATTTTGGGTCGTTGAACAAATCTTAGAGGAAACGAATAAAAACGGTTCACAAAAAAAAGTGTTATGTTATTTTATCCATATATTTTCCCTCTAAACACAAATCGGAACTCAAAATTGTGGGAGGATGGGCAAATATGAAAATAATTTAGACATCATATTAAAAAAAAGTATTTTTGGTGAACGTGCATCTCTCCGCGACCTCTGAATATATGCACATCCATATACCAAAATATGTGATCTTAATGCCAGAATTACTTTCTTTTTTGTCCAACATAGTGGAACCCCAAGTACACATCATTTTTTTATTTTGTTGTGTGTTATTTATAATCGCCTCAGTGGCCCTTATCCGCGGTTAAAATATCTCCCGCCCCTGTAAATATTTTGTATAATAAAAAAATGCAAAGAGGCTCATCTCAATATTAGCAAAGAATGGGCACCTTTAAAGCCAAAGCCTAACAGACATTCAACACTTTTTCAAAGTCGTGCATTTTTTTAATATCATCACCTCAATAGTCACCTTTTAAAATTTGCATCGTTTAGAAGAATACTGTTTTAAGAGTGCTTAAGAAATTCTATTAAAAAACAGTAGGTATTTGTCATATTCCTATGGAGATTTTCATAAAACGGAAAACAGTTCAAAGAACTTAACTTGTTATTCCAAAGAGATATTATAACATCTTGAATTGAATAGACCACTAAAATTAGAACACAAATCGTGGAAAATGAAATAATACAAACTTGACCGTAAAAAAGTAGAAATCTCTTCAAATCAATACATATACTGTGTTTCACTAAACTTGTCGCAAAGCTGTTAAAATTTACTTAGATAATGTGGCGACAATTCTGAAGCTTTCACACAGTGGAAAGAACAAGCGGGAAAATGAATAATTATGAATAATTTACTGATTTGTTGATAAGTTTTATAACACTGAGTAGTTATTGCAAGTACTCAAGAGCTATCGCAACACGTTGCAGTGAGGAATGAACAGCTAGTTTTGGAGACCTTGTATTTCATAAAGTAACCAAGAATCTTTGAGCCTAGAGAAACATTTGTTATAAGTGTTGGGCTTATAGTTGATGCAAAATACCGACTAAAAACAAAAATTATCGAATTTTATGCTAACTAGTCCCACAACAGCAAATGTCGGATTTTTATGATTTCATTGTCTATTTCGAGTGATCCGGTGAAAAATGAACTTATTACAGATACTACAGAAAGCATGACAAAAACAATAAACTTACTCAAAGATCTTACTATTATCACAGTTCATCATGAATACTACCAAGGTGTCCACTCTTCTCCTTGGGAAAAGCCCAAAATACTGACGGAAATGACTTGGCATCTCTTTCTCGCTTAACAAAAGCACTGAATGATGAGATACAATTTCCAATAAAGACATTTGACTTTGCCAAAATAGCCAAGTCCACTTGTGGTGTCGCATTGAGATTCCTTATCACTTGAATTTTCATTTTCTTCAGTCCTTCTGTGAGATCTTCTATCATGTGGTTACTGTCTGAAGCAACATAAATTGCTTGCACTGTAGCGTTTTTGATGTTTTTTATCACACGTTTGAGTTGTCTTATCACAGTTTCTTTGGTTGGAAGGCACATTTCTTTTGTGGCGATTCCTTTCTCGTTTTGATAGCCTCAAATAAAAAAGTATGTTAGTTTAGCGAGTGCACTACACGAGAATTATCTGCCCAGTGGAAGAATGCAAGAAAGGAAACAGTGAGAAACTGTCGTCACTATGACAGCGGTGCTGGCACCCCCGAGCATGAACTTAAGTGAGAAAAGTGATGTATCAAAAAAAAGCGAGTTCATTTTCTGAGAAATTCAATATCATAAGAAAAAGTTTTTGAAGATGTTTTATTGTCGCAAACAAAAGGAAATATTTATGTGAGCATATTTTAAAAAAAATTCTCAAATGAATACGATGCATAGAAGAAATAAAAGATATAACAAATTCTTATTAATACGGGAGACGTACTCACATGCACTAATTATTCATGTTCAATTGCTTGAACCTACCCTTTAGCGATCAAATGTTAAATAGCTGAAATTTGATATAGATTAGTAGTATTAATCCGATCGGTTTGCGTCGATTTATTACAGAGTTCCCATTTCCACCTCCTGACTCCATCATTAGAACAACTCCATGTCATAATATCATTGTCCAAATAAGGATCACTATATTGGATACAGGAGATGACGTTAATTTATTTACTATGTTTCATCAAGCACTTTCATTTGATACCCATAATATAGGGGTTGCTTTGGAAATTATAAATCGCCATTTTGCTGCGGCCGTCATATTCGACTTTGAATGACATCACGTTGTTTATTGTGTTTCTCTCATCAAATCCTTTCATTAGAACCCATATCACAGGGTTGACTATGGAAATAATAAACGCGATCTTGCGGTGGTCACCAGATTGGATTTAGAATGTCATCTTGCTTATTGTGTTTCTCTTATCAAGCCCTTCCATTTGATAACCATATAATAGAGGTTAGTATGAAAATGATAGATCGCCAATTTATATCTTACGCTATAATGGATTCAAAATGGCGGTTGTTAAGCATTGTCACGTGAATCAAACGCGCATACAAAATTTCAGCTCGACTGGATAAGATTAACTGGTTCAAAATTCAGTGTCAGGATTTGGCCAACACATACATACTAATATAAAAACACGTCAAGTTAAACAAAAGCTTATCTACCATTTATATTGAAATCCCCCGTCAAATTAAACCAGGAAAAAAATGAAAACGTTTTAGGACAAATTCCGCCAATATCTGGAAATACTCTTGAATTGCCAAACTGTCTAAATACCATTTTCTTAAATAACCCAAGCGTATAATTAGTACTATCACGAAGTACTAGAGCATATACAAAACGCTATACCGGTTCGAAGGGCTAGCCCCATGTTAATGTAGCCTTTCTGCGTCTCCTCCGCTACTTTCTTGATCGCATCAAAAACCAAAGGGATAACCAAATCGCGAAGAATATCCTTATTATAGATGAGCGATTTCGGCCAGTACCCCACCGCTCGCTGTTACAAAATCTAACAATAACTCAGGATGTGTTGATTCCATTACCATCGGTGGAAATAATGATAGTTCTATAATAAATTATTAAATTAAATGTTCTTACAGACTTCCTTCTTGGGTTTGACAGTAACCTAACCTATTGCAACAGCCTGTGCGAACATTTTCTGGTGTAACATATTGGTAACGCGGCAGATTGTGCGATCTTCTGCGTCACCGTTGCCAGGCAATGTGGTGTCTTTAGTCGGCTTCTATCACTTTCTAGCATGTGTTGATACGCACTTCTCTCTCGTACACATTGAACTCAAGCCGTCAGACAAATTTGGTTTTATCTGTATATCATCATAGATTTCTCCGTTCATTTGCTCTTTAAACTTTGATAAATATTAAACGGACTGACGTTCGTTACGAATAACGAAATAACCCAGGTGCCCACAAAATCTTATCTGTGACTGCCGACTTATTTCTCACCGCCACGCTGCTCCAGCTGACTATCATAGAGCATAGCATGACTGATGTTGCCAGATGGTCGATACTTTCAATAAGGAAAGAGAATAGGTTTCTCGATCGCAGCGTTATCAAATGGGTGGTACTATAAACTAATTGTATAGGCCTGTTTAGCTCACTTGATCCATTTTTGTGTTATACAGGTTCATAGTTAACTTTTTTATTATAATAATGGACCTTTATGAAGTGATTACAAGAGTTGCGTGGGAAGTGCAGAGTCAGACCACTTGACGTCTTTTTTTCATATGGCGCTAGTATGTGACTCTGGTGGGAAGTAGCATTTAGCTTTAATGGTATGATAGTATCATTAACGCTTATTTGAGGTCGACTTGTCAATCCTCAGTTTACAAAGCAAACGTGGATTCATCTCGATTTGTTCAGTTCGAATACCTATCAAAATAAAAGATTATACAATAATTGTATATGTCGCATACAGAGCTCTTTCTGTACCTCCAGTAATGTTTTTGATGCATATACTTCAAATGACAGCTCAAACAATATTTCATGCACAATGTCTGATAACACTTTTCCTGCCTTGCATTCTCTCGCTGAACATAATAGATTGTTTCAAGTTTTGTTTATCCCATATTTAAAATTTCTATTTTTGAAAATGTATTCCTAATAAATACAAAACAAACACTTTGTCAGAATAAATTGTCTGGTTAACAATCACCTATAAGTCAATATTTACACATACCTAAGCATTGTGGTGCAGCAAACAAGTTGGGGCTAGAAGGTATATGTTCACAGGCACGCACCCAGTCAATGCCATTCCTTAAGTGAATACCAATGAAGGCACCTTTAGGAATATATGTCTTTATGAACTTAATGGCTTTCTCTTCTATATCATCTGACCATTTCAAGTACTTTTGTAAAGCTCGATTTTTTTGTTGGATGGGGAAACTCGCTGGTGCACCTGAAAATACTCGATATTTTCACTATCTAAAAAGTGGTTTGAATTCAAAGTTCTCCTAGATCAATATATGCGAGTCGGATAATTTAAATATTTCAATTTATGCAATAATTTTTTGATCGAGCTATTGAATATATTGAGTGGCTACGATTATCAATTTTTCTTTATGTCATGTATTTTATCAGAGCCTGAGAATAAGAAAATGAAAAGTGCTTCTTTACCAAACAACTTGGATATATCTGGTCTGGGGAGGTATTCTCGAATGTGAATGTCGCAATCGACATTTTTTATTAGACCAAATTTTACGAAGCTAACTAAGACCATGGGACGTTGAATGATGCCTGCGAGATTTTTTGTCGTTCGACAAAACGGCAGGTGACAAAGTAGGCATATGGAATGTTTGAAAATGCTTTTTTCTTCGTTAAGGCGATGGGTGTAATGCTCTGGTTCCAGGAATATCCGCTAGATGTCAGGACAGGTTCGAAATGATAATGAAAGCATTGTACACGCGCAGTTGTACATGTGTTCAGTTGGACCTTTGGATGTTGTCAGTGTTATCCACTCCGTACCGTGATCGCATAGAGCAGACGAGGGTGATTCCGATGCATTGTTTCTTGGCGATCCATCGGAATTATCCCTCGGAGAAGGGAGAGCCGAGACGCAACCAGTGTATTATTATGGTCATGCCAACGATATGCTTCACTGTCCAAACACGAAAACCAACGACGAGACGCGGCAGCTCCGGTAGCGCTGCAGAAAGTTCAGTATCGATAAAAGCATTTTAGGAAAATTATGTACCTGCTATCAGCAGTTCAATTTATTCATCTATAAAAAATAACATTGTATCTATAGTTACATTACACTCACAATTCCAAACAATTATGTTGAAAACTAAGAAGACAATCACTTTTGAATAATAATAATAATAATAAACGTCTTTATTTCCAAATAGACTGAGTATATAAAAAAATAGCCAAATACGGGCGAAGTTCAGCTGTAGCTGCTCTTCCACTTAACCCGCTATAAAAAAGTCCGTACAAAAGGTGAGTGAGACCTACTTATTCTACACATTACGAATATTAAATGTACTATATATGCAGTGCTTACATTAATACATCTACTAAAATTAATCATAAACTTGTATCAATATTTTCCTGAAACATGGTTACTACTGCTGGGATAAGAGATATTTTTTTAATTGAGTTTTGAAACTTGAGATGCTCGGAGTTTTATATTGTACCGGAAGGGTGTTATAAATGGAACAAATTTGGTAGCTGAACGATCGTTCAAATTGGGCTGTTCGGAATATCGGCGGTGTCAGCAACCCCCTGGATCTTATATTGATGTTATGCACATCTGTTCGAAATGTAACTTTTTCAAATAAGTAAGTGGGGGTCTTATACATAATTATTTTATGATATAATGTTGCGGCATGCAGAAATCTTCTTGTTTCCATGTTCAACCAGTTCGCATCTTTCAACATATGGGATATTCGGTCTCGTCTTCTGATGCCATATATTAATCTGAGGCAAGAATTCTGCGCAACCTGAATTTTTTGTTTGTAAGTGGCAGTTAAGCATGGGCCATACAACATATCAGAAAAATTGAAGTGCGAGAGCACCAACGACTCACATAGATTTATTTTGACTTTAACGGGAAGGTTACGTCTGTTGCCGTACAATATTTTTAAAGAGGAAAATGCCTTACGAATGAGCGAATTTACATGTTTTTCAAATCTTAAATTTACATCCAATGTTACACCCAAGTTCTTTGCTTCACTGACAGTTTCAAGTTGTTGTGCATTGATGGTAAAGTTAATTGAGTTAGTAACAGCCTGGCGCGCATGCTTTGGCCCAAATACAATTACTTTAGATTTGCTAGAGTTAAGATGCAAACAATGTTCTTCGGCATTCTTTGTCAATAATGATAAATCTCTGTTGATGGTTGCACTCACAGTGTCCACATCACTGGGTAGAAAAGTATGATACAGCTGAGTGTCATCAGCATAGCAGTGCATTTTGCAAGTATTTAAGCCTTTGCCCAGGTATGAAGTATAAATTGCAAAAAGGAGTGGACCCATAATACAGCCTTGCGGCACGCCTGATTTTAAGGCTAATACGTCAGAATAACTTCCCTCCAAGAAAACCTTTTGCTTTCTGCTCTTTAGATACTTACTGAAAAAGTTGACACTATCCGAATCGAGGCCTATAAAATGCAATATATTTAGGAGTAATTCAAAATTGATCGTATCGAAAGCTCGACTAAAATCCAACATTATCAAAACTGTACACCTTCCCTGATCAGTGGCTCTGATAATGTCATCTGTTACATGTAGAAGTGCAGTTGTACAGCTAAAATTCTTTCTAAAACCAGATTGAATTGGAGAAAGCAAAGAAAACTTTGATAGATGTTCCATCAATTGCAAGTCAACCGCTTTTTCTAATAATTTTGACAATGCTGGTAAAATGCTTATTCCTCTGAGGTGATTAAAATCTGAAGGATTTAGCTTTTTGGGAATTACTTTTACAACTACACTCCCCCATGCTTCTGGAAAAACATTTTGAATCAAACAAAAATTTATTATATGCCTGATATAAGGAATAACATGTGGACAGCAAAGTTTTATTAGAAAGATACTCAAGCCATCACAGCCTGCAGCATTTGTTTTAATAGCAGAGATAGCTTGATATATGAATATTTCATCAATTTCTTTAAATTTGAATTTGGAGTTTGTCAGACAGTTATTTTTGTAAAAATTTATTAAGGAATCTGGAGGTTCACTTGGAGAGATGGAATTTATAAAAAAAATCATTCAGAAGGTTCACATCCATTAGGTTAGGGGGCAATGAGTTACTAAAGTTATTTTTTAGCATCTTGTTTTGTTTTAATATCCTCCACATTTGCTGAGAGCTGCTATGCAAGAACTTATGGAAGAAATACGCTCTTTTCTCTCTTCCAATAGCGCTAGTGACATAATTCTTTAAATCGTTATAATACTGTAAGTGCGCATGAGTACCTGATCGTTTATAACTTTTAAGTGCTTCATCACGGAGCTGCTGCATTTGTTTGATCGTATCAGTCATCCATGGCGCCCTAGCTTTTGTAACGCGTTTTCTAACTAAAGGGGCATGTCTGTCGAATAATTCAACTAAGCAGTTAGTGAAAAAGGCTATTTTCGTATCAATGCTGTCTTGGTCGAACATTTGGAAAAAAGATATACCACGGAGATCATTCAGAAAATGTTCCTCATTGAAAAACTGGAAACTTCTATATGTGATAAATTTTTCTTTTGAATGTGGATTACCAACTGACATTTTACAAAAAACCAAAAAGTGATCTGATACCTGGCCAACATCAATTATTCTTTTGTCTAAAACATGTTCCTCCCGTAATAAGATAAGATCCAAGAGCGTTGCTGAAACACCCGATATTCGCGTTGGTTCTTCAATAATTTGTGTTAGCTCGAATACCTCTAAAACAGAATAAAAGTTATTAACAGCACTATTCAAGTCCAACAAATTTATATTAAAATCTCCCGCTATTATAACATCATCCACAGTAGGATATATCAAACACAAAGCTGTCTCAAAATCGTTCAAAAAGTTATTTATTTCGACATATGGAGGCTTATAAACAACACCAATCGCAAAACGTTTATTATTCAACTTAACAGTAATCCACAATTGCTCACTAAATAACTTTTCTTCAATTTGCATCAATTCACTATTAATGGTATGCTTTACATATATGAGTAATCCACCACCCCTACTATGTCGATCAATTCTGTATAAACTAAAATTATGAATGTGCACCGCATCATCATCAATTCCAGCATGTAACCAAGTCTCACAAATTAAAAAAATATCAAAAGAGTGCTCAGTGATTAGAGATCGAACATTAGATATAGATGGTAACAACGATCGAACGTTTAAGCTACCTATGTTTATATTTTGCATGGTTATCGAAAAGAAGCCAACCAGTTATAGCGCCTACTCAAAATAAGATAGATACAAGATAGTAGATAAAATATAATATATATATATATATACATATATACACACATATACACATATATGTAGGTTACTAGAATTAAATGAATGTTGTAATCTGCAAAAAGTTGTTGGTCTCAAAAAAAATTAGTACGAAAGAAAGTAAGAGAAAAAAAAAAGGAATCCACGTGAAAGTGGGAGCTCAATTGCACGAGTGTTGTGCTGCAGATTAAAATGGATATATAATCATCTTAATGAGAAAAAGATAAACTGTTAGCAATACATAAATGAGAATAACTAAAACTATTCCTACTTGCTCAGAATCAAAATAGAGGATGACGTCATGACGCCGTATTGATTCATAAGAAACTTCACTTCGATACACTTAGAAATTGAAATAAGGAGAACACATAAACAAGAAGAAATGTCGAGTGATCAAAATAATTGGGAAACAAATTATTAGGTATAAACAAAAAAGTGGATATACTTAATATATTCAGGCCACAAAATAGTGTTTTTATTATGGGACTGTCATCCTCTATTCATCACTGTAAAAACTTAAAAATCATGAATAAAAAATCAATAATAGCGACAGGATCAGGCAGAACGTAGCCTTCAAGAATAAAAAAAAAATCTAATCTAGTACAAACTTTCTTTTGCAAAAAAAACGGTTGCATTATCATCTCAATATGAATGAACAAAACGGACCTCACAATTTTGCAATATCACTAGGCTTCTCTATCTTCACAGTTCTGCCTTCTCCATCATATTTGCAGAATATTGTGCCGTTTGTCGTCCAGACTCTACCATTTCTTCCCATTTTCGTGATAGCATCCTTCAGTAGCTAGCTTCAATTTATATTGAGTCAAGTCCTCCCGGATGACCATTCCAGATGATTTTAAGAGCTTTTTATCATCATAGGCGAGCTGTTTATAATACATTGAACTAAATTTAAGTACTATCGGCCTTTTCTTATCTCGGTCATATTGCCCTATTCTAAAGCAGCATTCAATTGCTGGTCCTTCTACATTTATTTTCATTTTATCCCTGAGGATTAGGACGATCCTATGCAGACAATCTTCACTAGGGTTCTCAGAAACACCATAAATGCGCAAAGTCTTACGCTTGCAATACTGCTCTTGCTTATCTTGATTTGAGATTATTTTCTCAATCGCCTCTCCGTGAGTTTTGAGCTGTGAGGCAACTTCTTTGTTTCGTTGCTTTAAAGAATCAATATCCTTTTTCACTTGTTCACTTATTACCTTCGTGATTGAGGTAGCAATCTGACCAATAAAATCTTCAGATGAGCAAATCTTCGAGACTAAATCCTTGACAGTTACGAGCAATTCATCCTCGCCTCGCCTGTTACCTTGCCTGGTATTGCTCATAATGGAAAAAAATAAATTCAGATTATACTATCAAGCAATGCACCAATCACAATAGCACAACAACTGCTCAGTAGGCAATCACTAGCACAAACCACTTGGAAAGAATCAAAAATATAATAGCACAATTTCTCATTAGAAATTCAATTTTTGCAGCAGCACAACAAACGCGCGTCTACTCCATAGCGTGGTCGACAGACTTTTTTTTGGGTGGTGGGTGGGTGGTATGGGTGGTCGTTACAGCTCAGTCATGATATACCAAAAATATATGTTGACTAATGAGCCTAAAATAAATTGTCACAAGAATAAATCCACGAATCACAACTTAAGAATTATAAACAAGTTAATCATAAACAACCGATCGATCGAGCGCGATCAGAAACGCGGAGTGCACGAATTTTCGAAAAATCGATGTGGTTCTTTAGTAATATTGTTTATTTTATGTATTGAGTGAGAGTAGATGTCTTATGGGGATTCGGTCTCAAAACTTCCAAAATCCGCCACCAGAGGCGCTGGCGTCGCGCGCCATTGACAGGTTGTTGGACGGAATCTGTAATCGAAATTCATGAGTTGGGGATTCCGCCGCTAGATGGCGCTGTCAAACCAAACGGAATCTGTGTGTCATTGGACACCTGTCATGCGTCATTGGGCATCTCACGCATAGATGGCGTTAAAACGTCATCTGTCATACGTCATTGGACACCTGTCATTGATGGGTTGAGCATCTCGCGCATAAATGGCGTAGATTTGTTTGGCGGTGTACAAACCTAACGGAATCTATGCGTCATTGGACAGCTGCCATTGATGGGTTGGGCATCTCGCGCATAGATGGCGCCGATGTCGCACCTGTCTGGTGTTGGCGTGGATTACGGGGGGCAACGTGTATACAGGGGTGCATCGAAAAATAGCGGATCGATGGACCGACGGTATATCGTTAAATCGTATATAGCAAGGCGTGACCTAAATAGCGTGGTGGGCTCCTCTGGTCGGTCGGTCGGTCGGTCAGAATGTCTCATAACCTGTATACGATGTACTGTTATTATTATACAGGATGATACCGTTCAAAATGAAAATAGTATAATGGATATTTTATTGAAACATATAGTATATATAACAATAAGGTTGATTGGTGTGTGTGTGTGTGCCATGTTTTGAATACCCGCGCTTGAACAACTTGCAACAAGAAATTCCGACAATATTATTTCGCAAACCAGAGGTATTTTCAATAAAACTACATATCAGTGAGTACTTTAGATGTTGATACTAATCGACTCAAATCATTGTTCGACAACTGATTTGGTTCATGACAGACAAGAATCAAATTATGTATTTCACGGTTCAGTTCTGGTTGTTTTTTAATTTTTTCCCTAAACTTCAGGTAACCCAGGAAATATGTCTCTTATCCGTCCTCTGTTCAACACATCAGTAAAATCGTTAGAAAATTCTATATATGACATATTATTATAAAAGGTATAGGACCGTCCTGCGTTTGATTGAAAAATAGCATTGATTCGAGCCCTATCGGGTATATCAATTGAAAAATTATCAAGAAATTTAATGGTAGGGAATGATGCTGAGAAATAGTTGTTTGGAGACACAATGGTAATCAAGTCACCGTTTGTTGATTGGAAAATATGTTGTAAAGTGTATTGACGTAATTCTGTAGGAACATAATCGACAAGAAGTTCAGGCTGAGATGGGATAATCATTTCGTTTAAGTCTAGTTTCCATATAAACATATCATGTGCAATATATAATCGGTAATTTGAAAACTCTGGAGCAATAGCTAAAAACATAAAATCTGGAATAATATCACACAAATTTTTGAGGATCGGCTGCTTACGAGTTGTAGATCTTATAGTTGTTGTTGTTTTTGGTATTGCTGATGCGGTGGTAGACGTTGGGATTGAATCATATTTGTTTTTTCTTCCATATAGATATTGTACTGCATTTATATCATCAACATCTAGACCACGAATCTCATGCTGATAGAAGGCAAACATAATAGCATTCGGAGAAGCACTATGTGCTATGCCGAGAGCATGTCCAATTTCATGAACCAACACCTGATAGAGAATGATGTCAAAAATCTCAGATAGCAAATATAAATTCGTTTACCCCCCAATCAAAATCTTGACTGAAAAAAAATTAGGCAGCAAATATACAATAATCATACACGAATTTACTATATTTCTAAATTTCTACTCTCATGTGCAACTTGTAATTGGAATTTCCGCCGGACAAACGATACATTCATGTATTACTAAGAAATTATATAAAAAATACTGCAACCGCAATGAATGTTGTTTTCTCGATAAAAATGGTACTGAGAATATGATGCATATAATATGCATATTTACGATACAATTATCTCATGCACGCGTGTGTTATCTCAACCACGTATTTATATTTAGCGAGCGCATGCAATAGTCATCATTGTTTCACACTTAACGCACAACGCTGCAAGCTGGAACAACGGCCGCAGTACAATAGTGCTTCGAGAGAGACGAGATAGCGAAAATTTTAAAAAAAGTAAGTGCTATTTTATTTAATATTTTTCTTTTTTATGTCTCTAAGTGCAACTGTTTTTTCGTGTTATGCTTCAAAATAGTTAGACGACTCAATTTTTTTTATAGATGGATTTATCAAAAATTAATGCTGCGTCTTCGATTGTAGACCGCAAACCTATCAGAAAATTAAAGGACCTACCAGTCGGGACACCATTTGCAATCCAAGCAGCTAAAGTGGTCAAGTCGAAATTTGGGGAAGCCGTGCTACTAGATTTAGGACCGGAAGTGCTATTTCTACCACAGCGGGTGACGGAAACGTACCAGCCGGTCATCGACGAACTTTTTCACGGAAAATACTCGATCATCTTCCAAGGGGAAGTGGACGTAGGGAAAAGCCGACCGCTAGCATCATTCAAAATAGTGGAAAATTAACAAAGCAGAGAACAGGAGGAGGAGGACAGGGTGAGCATTTTTATATATTTTTGAGTAATGTGTTTGCTTGAAAAAAAAAATGTCGTCTTTTCAAATGTCTTCAAATAAGGTTAAAAAGATCATCAAACAAACAGACGGTGTTCTACTATCAATTGTTAGTCTACGGAAAATTTTATTTGATAATTTTACAATCAGAGACGCGGAAGTGTGGCTGAAACGAATAGAAAAACAAATTAGATTATGTAAACGGGTAATTCGTAGTAGAAGGCAAAATAAATTATCTGTAGGGACCTGTAGAAAAGTAGAAACAAATTTGGGGCATTTTAAACATTTTAGAAAGTTGATTTTAACTAGACATATTGGGGCAGGACTTCACTTAACATTGGGTCAGAGGGTTAGATGGGAAAATGTAGAATCGAGCTTTCAAAGTAGAATAAAAACCGGTTCCATAGCTAATTTGCGTCATAAGGACTTGAATCAATTTTTAGCAGATTGTGTAGTTGTTTTTAAAAGGAAAATTAGGAATATTTTGAACACCCATTGTGCGCTCAAAGTAAATACAACATTTTGCGGGGAGTTTATTAGGAAATCGGGGGATAATGAAATTTTGGGAATTAAATATATTAATACTAAAAATCATATTATTGATACATCAACTCAAATAGACGAGTGGTTTAAGATATATGTG